AACGGTTTGGCGCAATGCAGTAGTGGTGCATTAACCACTATTCGACGCAGTAGGTGAGAATTTCTACCAAAAGTCGCTGGTTCACTCCTCGAAGAGTACATTTGTATTTGTACATGTTATTATTTTCAAAAAAAGTTATTTGATCACAATCTACTTTTGTTGGTTTCGTTGTGTTAGTAAACTAAGTTTGCTTAGTTTTGCTTAGGACTTTACCTACTAAATTTGGTTTCAGGATTTTGTAGTAGGTATTTCTAAGGATATCACAATTTATTGTATGTAGATTTACATAAACTCTTCATAGACCATATAGGTACTATCTGCAATGTATAGGATTTACCCTTATCTCCTCAAATTCTAACATCCATCAATATTAAAACTACTGTACGGATTAACTTGCCATAAAACTAGCGACACTATCTTATCCGTGATAAATAACTATCAAAAATCAGTAAACAGGTCTTACATAAGTTAACGTAGAGGTGAAACAGTTGATGGATCGGCCTCTTTAACATTTCAACCCAATAACCCAATTGCCGAATATCTACCCACGGTATTTTGGAAATAGAGCAAATTTTATAAACACTAGCCTATCTTGACCTGTTATACACTAACCATTCCTCTAAATCAAAGCTCTAGTTGTACTGGTTAGGTATTCTAAAACCAGATTTCCACATCCATTATGACCTGACCTCTATTTGCTAACAAATTACTTGAATTCAGGTATCCAGACATTCTGGCGAGGTAATTCGATAGAACAGCATATGTTTCGTTTTAACGATTTTCAGTCTGTGTTTATTTTTCGAAGTTTTGTTTACGAAAATAAAATAGGCCACGGGATTCGATGAATGGAATTCGTTTTGCCAATTCGAGATTTATTCGTTCGTTTTACGGTTTTGTAATTTATATTTTTGTTTGTAATCGTTTAAGACGGTGTTAAAAGTAGTTTATTTGGTTTGCTTTCGAAGCAACAGTATTAATCTTTCTTTTATTGTGTTAACAACTGAAATCTTAACTCTAGTGTCAGACTGAATGAGCCGTCATATGGCTCATGTAGCAACTGACATGGCTCAATCACAATGACAGCTTATGACTCTTCCTTGCTTGGACAATTAGGTCGTTTCATGCCCGTTTTTACCATCAATTCCTAATTTTTGTGATCTATATGAAAACATGAAACAAACAGGCCAAGAGCTTCCTCGTTGTGGATAAAAAAAAAAAAAAAACATTCCTGTTATGTGTTACCATAAGGGTCACTTAAAGATTAGGAATTGAAAACAATAAACGGGCATCAATGTACTAATCAAATACCTTTAACTATTTCATTCTTTAAATTTTACACTAAGTGTGTCTCAACTAGGAATATACCAGAACTTCAGAGTAGAGTTCTCGCTTATCCTCCTACACTCACTTAAAGCGGCATTTGACAAGAGGTATTTGAGAATGAATACTTTTTGAAAACGAGTTTATTTCAATCAATACTTTTACTCAATCATGTTGCAGCTTTAGATTAAAATAAAATCAAGCGCGCAGATAAAAATTATCCTGACTTACAACAAAATGGACTAACGCTTTATTGCGGAAATTAATTAGCAATTCTTAGGAATAAAATATTTATCACAATCTGTATTCCACAGCAACCACGGTTAGTAACAGTTAACATCCTGTGTGGTCCGCGGTATTGCTTTTTAATGTTTCGCCGGAAAACTGGACGGTGGCTTAATGTGTCCTGTGACACTTAATTTCGCAATAAAAAAGAAAGAAATTAAATCGATATCACTTTAAAAGTGTAAAAAAATAAGAAACACTTTAAAACTCTACAATTTATAACGCCAGTAGTGTTTTCTGCTTTCTTTCTTTCCATTATGAATAAAAAAAATCTGAATTTTTTTAAATTGTTATTTAGTTGTGTCTTTGACTATGTATTTTTTTTACATTGTTTCTGTCTTTATTAAGTACTAACATGACGTAATATTGACAATTGACTGTTTACGAACAAAATAAAATTCTTGCTTGTAATTTAAAGGAAAATGGCTTGCGTAATCGTATTGTTTGTGTTTCTGTAACCTTCTTTAATTTACAATGATTATGATTTTTTACGAACACTTCTCTCGCTGATTTTTAACCATAATGATTTCTCAGTGTCAAGTGTTTATGAAAACACTTTAGATCATCAACTGACATCATAAGTGATTTAATTCATTGAAACGTCAGTCATGTGATGAAATTATACAAACAAAACGCAACCGCAACACTCAGTCGTGTGACATTTTGTAAAATTTTACACTTACGTCAGTTTGTTACTTGGCAATGACCTCACGTGATTTTATAAGGCATGAAATAATTTAAATATCACGTTCTTAAAGTACTTTTATCGGTCTGTAGATTGGAGAAGAATATTTATAACTAGCTTTTGTTCCGCGGCTTCGCTTGCTAAAATCCAGTTAGTTACAAAACAGAAGGGCCAACTTACTTGAGACTTCGTTGTAATTTAACTAATTATCTCACTATCGTTATTAATTAAAGAATAAAAAATATAATAGTCCGGTCAAATTAAATATCAACCTTGCAATAATTCGCATACTGCTGAAAATTGGTACGAATGTTCTGAAAATTGAATGAAATGTGAAAAGTAGGATATTCATTAGTAAAAAATTCTCTACACGAAATATACATTTTTCATAAGTATTTACTACCTAGTGGTAGTCCGGCGTTTTATTCATTGCTAAAGAACTATTATTTGTTTACTAGTAGTAACCAAGGATTAATCATTGTTTACCAACTGTTACGCCACGATGTTGTCAGCCTAAACACTTGAGGCTCTGTCATCACCTCTAGGTACAGTCAACAACACATAAGACTGTTGCAAAACAGACTGTATTAATATGAGACAGGCCCCCCATTAGGTGGACCGACGATCTGGTGAAGGTCGCGGGAGGTGCCTGGATGCGGGCGGCGCAAGACGGTCGTTGTGGAAATCCTTGGGGGAGGCCTTTGTCCAGCAGTGAGCGTCGTTCGGCTAAAACAAACCAATGTGAGATAAAGACGCCCGACTGTGTTTAGCTTTTAATGTACTGTCGAACAGCGTCAAATAGTATGTGACACCCACAGTGGTCAAACACTTGAAAATACAACCTTATTCCAATTGTAACAGACGTGTTGCGAACTTTTTGGCTACTTTGGGTGTCACGAACTATTTGACGCTGACTGTACATACTTCGGATTAACGATTATATCACCGCTGGAGTATCTAGGTGTGTTTGACAAATAATGTGATCAAGGGTTTTGTATTTGAGTAGTTGAGAAACCATAATGACTGTACATCTGACATCAGGTGGCCACATAAGCACGACATAAGTGACTGTGCATCTGACATTTGAGGGCTAACCAAACCAACTAAACATCTACATAAATAGGTTGAAGAATTTGCCACACTGGATATCTTCTGTGGTCAGGTCAAAGTGAACGCAGCCCGCATCATGTACAAACAATATTGTCGGTCTCTACACATTTTGTATTGCGATCTGACCGTCTCGGTACGAGCAAAGAACGCAAACTGATGATCTAATGATGTTGATAAATGTTCCCTGAAAATACTTTACCACTGCGTGATCGAATCCGAAATGATGAGATCCGTTGGAGAACCAAGGTGACTGACCTAGCCCGCAGAATCGCTAAAAACAAGTGGCAGTGGGCAGGGCACATAGCTCGTAGAGCTGATGGCCGCTGGGGCAGGAAAGTTCTTGAGTGGCGACCACGAGCCGCAAGACGTAGCGTGGGCCTCCCACTAGGTGGACCGACGATCTGGTGAAGATCGCAGGAGGTGGCGATGTCGCAGGACCGGTATTTGTGGAAATCCTTGGGGGAGGCCTTTGTCCAGCAGTGGATATATTTCGGCTGAAACGAACGAACGAACGAACTTTACCAGTAATATTTCTGAAGAATCTCTAGCTGAATATGATGTGGTTTAGGTACTTTAGAATCACTACAAATCTACGTAGGTTTGAACCGAAGTAATTTGTAAACCCACTTTTTAGTCATTATGGTACACTTATAAGCGTGGGAGTCCCACAATAAATGTGTCTCCGCAATTTTGGGTGCACAAATATTTATTACAAATCATAGTTTGTGAGGATTGTGAGAAAACCAAACATGCGCGTGGGCAGTTGTGTCGATTTGCTAAACTGTTGATTTTGTGGGGCCCGGTGTTGCCAAATCTTGTTTAGTTACTTTGTCAATATAAGTTTACGAGTCCTTGAAAACTTTAATAACTGTAATTGAAGTTATATTAAATCGATTTCTTAGTTGATTAGGTTGTTGGAGGAAATATTAATTTTGAAAACTTTTTTGTGCTCTTCACTTTTATATTGAAAATTGTTATGAGGAAATGATGATGATGATCTCATACAAACATTATTATTCTTGTAATTGGTTCGTTGACAACATTATCCAATAACTACAAAACAAAACTTCTTTAAAAATGGCATGTAAACCAAGTTTGTTAGTTGGTTGGTTGGTGCCACACAAAAGCAATGAAAATGTCGCGTTATAACTCCTCACACAATTTCAGTGGTATAAGTTTAAAAAATAATATTAGTTAAAAAAAACTAAAAGACAAATTCAAATCAACCCAAACTCGATGCGATTCCGCCGTTTCGTTCAGGAGTTCTTATGGCCACCTTCCAGTCCCATCATCAGACCAGCTCGATGGTACCATAATAATGTATTGTCATCTAATCTACATATAGGTATTTGCCAAGTTTCATGATGATACAAGAATTAGAAGAGCGTGTAAATCAGATTCTTACATTCCATTACATAGTTACATACACGATGACGCGACTTGATAAAAGCACAAAAAGTGTGTTAAAAAAGGGTTACTTTCGCATTAATAAAATCAGCCTGTAAATACACATAAGATTACGTCAAGTGCTGTATAAATATTTCAACAGCTTCATTTATTACATAATAGCATGTAACAAATATTTTCATCTTTCTTTCAGGTATGGATGAGTTTGGCAAACATTCAACACAGATGCACGATGATGTCATAATGCAGTATGTAAGTCGTATAAATACTTTTCATTCTGTAATGACATTGTTATTTTAATTGGTCTACAATTGGTTAGGGCAAGCATCCAAATTGAAAATAGGAGCAATATTAGCAACTTTCCAAAATTCATCATCATCATCATTTCAGCCATAGGACGTCCACTGCTGAACATAGGCCTCCCCCAATGACTTCCACATCGCCCGGTTGGTAGCGGCCTGCATCCAGCGCCTTCTTGCTACCTTTATGATGTCGTCGGTCCACCTTGTGGTGTGTGTTTTTTTATATTAGTCTTTTATTTTAATTTTCTTTCAATATTTCCCTATTTTTTTAATATAAGGTTGTTGTTGTTTATTAGTTCAATATAAATAAAGAAAATTTTGACTTTTGACTTAGACATTACACAGACATTCGCATTTCCCAACACAGTCAAGGTGTAGCATATTAATTGCTATACCTGGTTACTCAATGAAAGATCTCATCATTATTCTAATCATTAATTCATTATCATGACACTACCCACCAGATTATGTAGAGCTCTGTATCCTATACTATACATTTCCACGTTAGGTCTTCTTAATTTGTTCATTAACCACTATTGGAAGACCTATCCGATAATGTAAATAATACGGGAAGGCGTATCAAACTAAATTGGTTACAGTATCCAAAATTAGTTGACCTCTACTGAGGCATAAAATGCTAGCGTTGAGAGGTCTAAATATTCTGGTAGGTTACCAGTTTAAGCAGACCTGTGTTGGTGTATAAAATATAGTGTAGGACAGGTTTACAACACCTAAGTTTTGCTATTGCTAGATAGCAATCTTAGGTGTTAGTACATTGGTTTAGTCATAATAATCTTTATGAATGACTAGTAGTAATTATAAATTATAATTCATAACAGAAATCATGTGGTCATTCTTTACAGCTATGACCATAAACAATTAGTAAGCGGAAAAATACTCCATTATTTTTCTAGTTATTGTAGTTATAATGAGAAATAGTTAACTAGAGACAAACATGACTAATTTGTAATTTTATTATTAACAACCTTTATAATGTAGCTTGGAAGGCGCTGGTTGCAGGCCGCTACCAACCGGGCAATTTGAAAATCATTGGGAGAGGCCTATGTTCAGCAGTGGACGTCCTGTGGCTGAAATTATGATGATGACTCATAAATACTTTTCATTTTTATAACAATACGACCTACTTTATAGCGCCCTAGTTTTTTTGTTAAACACAAATTAATTTTTTCTTTGTATTTCAAAGTTACGGTGACAAATATTGATCCAATAAAATGATAATTTTATTACTTAAGAATTTATGATCCATTAATTAAAAATTTAAATATTATTTGTATGCCTTTGAAGTTTATAGCGACTAAAAAAGCGCTACAATAGTTGGTTCGTTGCCAACAAAGATTTATTAATTTAAACGTCTCGTTTCACTTTATTTAGTGTTTTTTAACATTTTGGAGGACCATTTTGTCACTTTTTATAAATATTTTTAAGATAGAGAAAAGACAAATTAGTAAGTTTGTTCGTCTTTTTAACTCTATTCTGAAACTACGTAATATTTGAGTAGAAATACCTACTTTTTAGATATTATATAAACCGACTTCAAAAAAGGGTCTATTCCACTTTGATCACCTGGCTTTGATGACCCAGGTGATCAAAGTCCACTTTCAGCGACAATTTAGTGTCCTTTGATCACCCACGGATACGATGCCCTGGGTGAGCAAAGTGGACCCCAGTTAAATTATTATTTTAGTGTCCTTTGATCACCTACATACAAATCACACCTCCACTTACCTATACTTAATGTACGGACAAACATTGTTCAGGTAAGTAACGCTTTAAAATATTTCATGCTGTAAAAAAATTGACTATATTAAGAAAATGTTTGTACTTACAATTGGACATGACGTGTCTAATCAGAGGAGGTGTGATTTGTATGTAGGTGATCAAAGGACACTAAAATAATAATTTAATTGGAGTCCACTTTGATCACCCAGGGCATCATATCCGTGGGTGATCAAAGGACACTAAATTGTCGCTGAAAGTGGACTTTGATCACCTGGGTCATCAAAGCCAGGTGATCAAAGTGGAATAGACCCAAAAAAGGGGCTTTAAGTTTCACTGTCTATGTTATTAACTAGAATAGAAATACCTACATGTATACATTTTATTTATTTTATAAACCGACTCCATAAAAGGAGGAGGTTCTAAGTTTCATTGTGTACTTTTGTATTTTTAACTAGCTGACCCGGCGAACTTTGTTCCGCCTTAATGGCAATAAATAACGGGATAAAAAGTATCCTATGTCCTTCTCCTGGCTCTAAACTACCTCCCTGACAATTTTCAGCTAAATCAGTTCAGCCGTTCTTGAGTTATAAGTGGAGTAACTAACACGACTTTCTTTTATATAATAGAAGATTTCACGATTCTAACTAAAACAGATGATAAAATTATGATAGATCTAAAGTAAGTACAGATGTAAGTGAGTACCTACCTATATTAAAGACCCATAGTTTTGTCTATTATAATAAAACCTTTTTACATAAATACCTGGCACGCTATAGTTCCAGTACGCCATTAGAAATAAAATCAAAAAACTTTTCCCGCCCCACAGATAGTGCGGTGACTCGACAGTTCTCAGAATCAACAATCGAGCTGCATCTGTGAAATCAATTACTTTAATTGATTGCCCAAAAACGGCTTCCACGATTGACGGCTGAATTTTGGTGGTTCCCGCACTTTTGTAACAGAATCTTACATTTTTAGAGAAACATACTTTACTGGTATACGTATAAAGATCAATTTGTAATTGCTGAATTTTTTCGGTAATTCCCGCTCATTTCTAAATTACAAACTTAGTTTTTCCGTTGAAAAGATCTTATTTCGACATCGATAGAGTCCAATTTTGGTAGTATTTTGTAATATTATTTTTGGTAAAACTAAACGCCCTTTTGTTAGTGATGTGGCTAAATATAACTTCAAATACGAGTAGCAATAAAATGTGTTGGTATTGTATGTTCGTCACCAGACGACGTGTTACTATAAAGTAACGCATTTTTGAGATGTCACGGCGATTTATTGAAAGAGAAAAGAACTAATGTATTGTTTCCGCACTTGAATTTAGGAAATGTATTTTTTAACAAGCTATTGTTGGATTTACTAATTGTGATTAATGTTTCTTACTATTTTTAATAAAATAAAAAGCATAATATTCACTTTAATAGAGTAGTTATACAGGGTGGAAACGTTAAGTGATCTCATTCGATTATTTCTAAACTATACAAGATATCGAAAAACTGATTACTGATTCTGAAAGTGCTTCAGAAGCTCTTTCAAACGGCACCAATAATAGGTTACATAATAAACTGGATATATCCAAAAATTCAATTTTTCTAGCTTCCATACATTTATTAAAACCACATAATATTAAAAACTATACAAGATATTAAAAAACTGGTTACTGATCCTGAAAGTGCTTCACGAGCTCTATCCAACGATACCAATAATAGGTTACAAAATTAACTGGATCCATCCTAAAATTCAATGTTTCCAGCTTCCATACATTTAGTACAGCCACAGTCATGGCACTCATGTCTTGATAATTTTATAGCAAGTAAAGCCTAAAACCAATGTTTTCCATGAATAATTTTAAATATGGATGCAATTTACGAGTTCATTTTAAGTGTTTATTATTTAATAAAAAAAATACTTCTAATTTTGTTTGGCTGGCATACATTTAGTATGGAGCATTCTGGGAGTGGGTAGTCAATGCGAAAAAACGCTCAACGGTTGGAATGTGCAGGTGTCAAAATGTCCATACGGACCGGCTGTTAGTGTGGCAAAAAGTATGAACGTCAAAAAGTCCCAGTGTCAAAATGTACATTATTACCATGGTTACAATGGTTTAGTGACAAATGGTACACATCACAAAATACAAGTACAACAAAAGGTGTGATAGATAAAATGATCAACTGATTATATTGTGCTCATGATTAAATTAATAAAATTAAATGTCAAAATGTTCAATGTTCTTGTAGTCCAGTCATAAAGAGTTTTTTTTGGACATTTTTACCTTGATGCATTTAAGCACATGTTCACGTTAGCTATTATACAATAAGACGCTTGTTCGAATAAGCCTGAAGACATTTTAACTTCAGATCATTTTAACCATTTCTCATTTCGACGTTCATACTTTTTGCCACACTAACAGCCGGTCCGTATGGACATTTTGACACTTGCACATTCCAACCGTTGAGCGTTTTTTCGCATTGACTACCCACTCCCAGAATGGTATGGAGGCTGAAAACATTTAATTTTCGGATAGATCCAGTTAATTCTGTAACCTATTATTGGTACCGTTTGATAGAGCTCGTGAAGCACTTTCAGGATCAGTAATTAGTTTTTTGATATCTTGTATAGTTTAGAAATAATCGAGTGAGATCACTTAACGTTTCCACCCTGTATAAAATTTTGTAACGGAAATGGGAAACCTAATCTTAAGTAAGGTATAATCTTTAAATCTTTACGTCTTCGTAGACGATACTGTTTCTTTCTCATTATTTAAAATAAGCGTTAAATTACTTTTTTCCAAAGTTGCGAGTTGCGACTCAAACTTAACCTAAATTGAATATCAACCAGCTTTAAAGTTAATTTCATAATGAATTTCACATTTTTAATATTATGTTATTATCGAAAATGTCAATCAAAGCCTGCATTCCTGCATTCTTCAATTTAAAGTTGTTGAAGTAAAAGTATGAGGAAGTAATAAACTTGATAAATTTAAGTTAATTTAACAGTAATTTGTACGTAATTACCAAGAAACATGACTAATATTTTAACCTTGTAGCTTTCTGAGAACAGAGAATGGGATGTATCAAGAAATATCCTTAGTAGGTGTCTTGATAAAGTCAGTAACATTGAGTTATGGTTATTAGATCGTTATAAGATTAATAATAAATTACATTGATTCATACAGCAAACAT